CATAATCACTTGCGTGCTTTAGAAATCACTTCTATGCTATGCTATTGATTTCTAGCAGTTTTATTTATTTCCCAAGTTGGATCTAAGTTGAAGTAGACTGATGTCTTTCTTTTGTACTTTTCAGGAGTGGTGGGTTAGAGGCATTTGGGACTAATCGTTGACTTGGGAGCCAATTTAACATAATGGGATTGCAGAATGTGTATGTAGCTGTCAGATTGTGTGTCTCGTAAATAATATATGAGGTATGTTTCTTCCTTCTCTAAAAGGGTTAAAAAAAAAAAAAAGTGACTGAATACTAATTTGTTTGTATCTTCTATACTTGGTTTGTAAGGAGCTAGAAAAGGCTGTATGCTTCTGCCTTCTCTGAAAGGTTTGCAAGGATGACTGATTGCTACTTTTGTTTGTTGTTTCCTGATTAGTGCTTAAAGGAAAATGCTGCTTGGCTCTATAAGATATATTGACACACTTTTGCTAACTTTTGTTTTTATACTGGTATCTTTTTTTTTTTTGGTTTTAATTATTTGAGTATTTCACAAATGAAAAAAAAATGGAAATTCTTTTAATGATAAAGCAAAGTACATTTGGCCTTTTTACTGTTTAATTTCAGTCTAAAAAAAAAAAGAAAAAAAGCTGCATTTTAAGTTTGATTTGTTTTTAAAAATATATTTTTTCAAACTCAAAGCCAATCATAGAAAAGTTAGGTAAAGTATGGTTTGCCGAAAATATCCTGTAGACCAGTGTTTCTCAACCTATGGTCCATGGCAAATTTCAGGTGGGCCACATAAATTTTATAATTTTTACTGGGCCACAGTTTATGGGCCACAAAATGGAAGTAATTTTTTACACTATAATAATTTCATGGACCATAAAAAATTCTAGGTTCAAAGTGGGCCATGAGCTAAAAATGGTTGGGAATCACTGCTGTAGACAACACCTGACACCACCAGGCTGTGACATATTTCCTATTAAAACATATGTTCAATGAAATGGACACTATTTAAATTAACTGGTCCTCTTGTTAAAAAAGAAAAAAATAGGGAAAAAATTAGAGATGAGGGAGAATAATTTTTGTAGATTAACGTTCATTAGACCTTACTCAAGAACCAAAAGATATTGATTTTTTTTCTTTTATTAATTTAGAAGGGAGGTACTGTTCATAATATAAATACAGTGCCAAATTGATCCGTCTTTTTAAAGAGTCATCTTTACTTTGATTTTTATATACAAATGTCAAGTTTGAAACTGCTTACATCATTGATATATGAATATGACTTATGTTACTTTTAAATACTTTTTTTATTTTGTGGAGTTTTAAAACTTTGGATTTTTTTATCATTTATTAATTTTGTTGGGGAGATGTGGCTTTTTCAGAGGTACTTATACAAACATTGTGGGATAATTATCTTAATACATGGAGATATATATATTTCTTTTGTTGTTTTGTTAATCATTTCACTCCAAGCTAGGCAATAATGCTACTAAGACACAAAGGGTTACTGAGAGCAAAAGAGAATGAGAAGAGTTTAGTAAGGAGAAAGGACAATAAAAGAAGAGTCTTCAGGAAGACAGATGATGATGATTGACATTGCATTTAAATTTTTAAAGATCATAGTGGCAGGGAAGCAAGAGTCAGGAAGGGAGTTCCACAGATGAGAAGTGCGAGAACAGAAACTATTAGAATAAAACTTATGGTTACATCTAGCTAGTTCAACAGTAAAATGATGACACTTAGTTGTCAATCTAGTAGTACACTTAAATTCATGGAGTTGAGGTAAGGAAAGCTCAGCAGAACAATTACCACGAAAATATGTATAGAAAAGACATCACAGCGATGGGAAAGTGACTGAATTTGAGATGCCTGCTCAGGATCGATTATATTACAGACACTTCTTTTGATTTTGTTGAGAAGCTCAAGATATATAGCAGGAGAGCCAGACCATATATATGGCAGCAATATTTATTGCATGAATGAATGCTAGAATTATAAATTTGTAAGATAGATTGTGATGAGAAAAATTGTCTGGTGCAAAACAGTGAACTAACTTAGCAGCAGATTCATTATAATTACTCCACTTAATGTCAGTAGAAAGCATGAGACCAAGAAAGTGTAAGGAGTTACCCTCCCTCCTGGAGGTTAGCATCAGCCATTCTAATGGAAGAAAAAAAGGTTCTGAGAGCAGTTTAATTTTGGAGGCATCAAAAATTAACAAGCCCCAGTTAACTGCTGACTGGCGGTCATTTTAAAGAGTAGCTGCCAGTTTTACTTTGTCATTTAAAATATTTTTTTAGAATACATCATGCAGAAATATATACATCCACTTTGTCTTTAATTAAATGCAAGTTTGAAATATTTTCCTAAAATAAAACCCCAAATATACAAATTCTGCCCAAAAAATGTATATACACTTCAGGAAAGAAAAAACTTGTATAGATATTGTAATACTTAATTTATTTAGACATTAATTCAGAGATTCAGACAAGTTACCTTTGGACTCTACAATCACAAGAGACGCTCAAAATGGTGACCTTTAGCTTCCAGAAATTTATTAGTATGACAGAGTACTACAGCTTGGGTAACATGCATTTTCAATTTATTGTTAAAGGGTTGCCAATTTAATTGCATCTCTTGTGAGAATAGCATACAACAGTAAACAGTGTTATTGCAATTTGTTAAACTACAAAAGACAAGTTTTTCCTTTCCTGAAGTATATATACATTTTTTTGTGTGTGTGTGTGTATATATATATATATATATATATATATATATATATATATATATATATATATATATATATATATATATAATGTATGTGTATGTATGTTGGGCTCTCCCATCATATTCAACGTATGAGGGTGAAGCAGCTCAGTTCCTAGGAACCGATAACACCAGCACATATGATTTGATTATAGTGATGAAGGCTTTGTGCAGAACCAACCACACTTTTTGAAGGGCCTGAGACCTAGTGCACTATGTGCAACAAGATCCCCAAATGACCCTCCGCAGGTTTTGAATTCAGAGTTATTTCTCTCCTAGACCAGTTGCCATTTAAGGCTATAGAACTCAGTCTGTCCTGCTATTTACCCATAGCTGGAGGGAAAAGAAAAGGATTAATACCTTTCCTAAGGGTATTACCTTCTAAGTGAATGTAATGGATTTGACTGGAAATCAAACTCTACTCTCTAATTCCTCAATCGAGGCCACTAGGCACTACTCCACCATGCTTCCTAATATATATATATATATATATATATATATAAATCTTTTTGTTAAAAAGAAAACTGTTTTGTCATAACATTTATTGATAGGACATGAGTCATACACAAATATCAATGATCTAAGTACAAACTGGACATTTGTAAGTAAAAACCATGTACAGATAAATCCTTAAAAAATCAGGGATCAATTTGACACTATATTATGAACAGGAACCCATTCTAAATTGATAAAATATGAATAATTTTTGATTGTGACAAAATTATGTAGCAGAAGGTCTAATTAACACTAATCTACAAAAATTACTTACCCACAAAAAAATTTTCTGTTTTTAGTTGCATTCATTAGAACTTTATATGTTCAAAATATTAATACAGTCACAAATCAGTCCCTGGCTTTTTACAGAGTTATCTGTACTTGTTTTTTCTTCACAAATATAAAGTTTGAAACTGTGCTTCCAATTGATGATGATGTCCTATTTTCCAATTCATAATAGTATACAGTTATCAATGACAAAAGCACAGTTTCAAAATTGACATTAATAATTAAAAACAAGGTACAAATAACTCTTTATGGATCAATTTGATATTGTATTTATATTATGAATAGAACCCACCTTTTAAATTAATAAAAAAATTTTTTTTTTTTTTTATTCTGATAAATGTCGACTTGAGGAACATCTAATGAAGACTAAAAACACAAAATGCCCCCACTTCTTCTTTAATAAAATTGACCAGTCAACTTAAGTAGTGCTGTGAACTGATTTAAAATAGTCTGATTATTTATAGTACAGTAACTTAACATTATATCCAATGTAAAATTATATTCTACTCTCGTGAAATTATAATGATGTACTTTGAAATTCATTACCTGGGAATATTTTTATTTGATATGTTGTTTTTTTGACTTTGTAGTTGTGACTAGTAACTTAATGGTCTTTACCAAGATTACTTATCAGCTTACCTGTGTGTCAGGTGAACAAAATTTATGCAGAATCTTGTTTTCTCAACATAGATACTTAAAAATGTCTCTGTTTATTCATAGCGCTTTTTTTTTAAATTTTATTTGCACAATCTAAATTTTTCCTTTTTGTAAATACATTGAAACACCAGTTTCCATATGACCATCAAAGTTAAGCAATATCGAGCCATGTCAGTACCTCCTTGGGTGATTGCTTGAAAATACCAAGTGCTGTAAGCTTGAATCTGTGGGTGGTCTAATGGCTCAGAATTGTTCTATTTTGTTATTATTTATTCCACTTAATCTCTTATTGTGCCTCATAATAAGATCTTCAGTATGGATAAATTGTCTATATGTCACATAACTTTTATTCCAATATATTGTTAGAATTGTTCTGTTTCATTATTAGTTATTGTTGCTAATCTCTTAACATGCCTAATAAGATTTATGGTAAGAACGAATCTTCTATCCCATATATCCTGTATATTGTTAGAATTGTTCTGTTTCATTATTAGTTATTGTTGTTAATCTCTTATTGTGCCTCCTTGATAAATACAGCAAAGTTGTTCTAGAAAAAGCCCCGAAACAATATTTGAGTGAATGATTCCAGTCATTTGTCTGCAAGAAACATAGTCTATCATGAATCAACTCTTGACTTGATATCAGTCAGAATCACTTGACAATTTGTGAACAAGTAGAAATATTTATTCTAGAAGAAATAGAAAGGAAAAGATTTTGCTTTTTGAAATGATCTGAAAACAACTTTCTATGTAAATTTACAAAAACATATATAAATTGTTAATGGTATTATTTATTTATTTTGGCTTATGGCCACATCACATTCAAACACCAGTTCCCATAAGATCACTGTAGTTAATCAATATTGAGCCTGGTCAGTAATTAGATGGGTGACCACTTAGGAATAACAGGTGCTGTAATCTTAAATGTGCATGTTGTATGGATTATGGTCATATCATATCACATTGAAACATTGGTTTCCATATGATCATCAATATTAAGCAACATTGAGTCTGGTCAGTACCTAGGTGGGTGACAACTTGGGAATGTGCATGTGATGTGGCTTATAGTCACATCATGTTGAAATATCAGTTCCCATATGATCACTGAAGTTAAGCAATGTTGGGCATGGTCATTTCTTAGATGGGTGACTGCTTGGAAACACCAGGTGCAGTAAACTTAGATGTTGGGGTGGAGTATTGGATAATGGCTTGGAATTGTTTCTCAGAGATATTTACTTATGCACAAATGCCCTTGGGAAAGGTATGAATCCACCTCTTCTCCCCCCAGCTATGAGTTAATTAATAAGACATTTATCACTAAAACCATTATTATCTTAAAAAAAAAATTCTCACAATGTAAAAATATTTTCTGGCTTTAAATAACCTGAAAAGGGTCAATAAGCTATAGAAAATGAACTAGTTAACAAAATTTTTGTAAGTAGCTCAATGAAAATCACAACCCACCTCATATCTGAGATATTTACTTATGCACAAATGCCCTTGGGAAAGGTATTAATCCACCTCTTCTCCCCCCAACTATGAGTTAATTAATAAGACATTTATCACTAAAACCATTATTATCTTAAAAAAAAATTCTCACAATGTAAAAATATTTTCTGGCTTTAAATAACCTGAAAAGGGTCAATAAGCCATAGAAAATGAACTAGTTAACAAAATTTTTGTAAGTAGCTCAATGAAAATCACAACCCACCTTGATCTAGAACTGATTGTGGCAAAATCGCAGCTCACAAGCCAAACATGGCTCTTGGAATATGTTGGCTGAGCTCCTTTTTTCATTACAGAAAAGATCTCAGTATATTAATTAATTATTAATTCAGTTAATTTAAAATGTAAATAAAAAAAAAAATTCTCAAGCTTTACAATTATTTACCGGGTATAAACTTAAGACCCCGTTGGATTAAAACATAAGTTTAATGTTAATATGTATGTAACAAAAACATTTGTAAATTTTGTTTGTGTCTTGCGGCTCTCAAACAGCTGAACATGATTGTATGTGGCTCTTACATTAAGCAAGTTTGGCCACCCCTGATCTAGGATGATGGGTCTCAAACATTTTATTTCATTACCTTAAATTTATGTGCTCTTGCTGCTGATCCAGTAGTGGGCAAGCTAAAAACATGTGGGCAGACTTCGGCTTGCAAAAGCATTTTAAAGAATAATTTTTTTTTTTTTTTTTTTTTTTTGTGCATTATTTTTGTCTAATTAGTTTTCCTTTCTTTTCTTTTTTCTTTTTTTAATTTTAGTTAATGTCCAATGGGAATAAATGACAAACCTATAAAAATTTATTCATTTCATTGAATCTTTATAAAAAATTCATAACCTCTAGGTTACTAGATCCTTTTGTCCTAGTTGATGTAAATTGAGTTGGTGCATTCAGTGTACTGTGTGACACATGAGAGTTGTGGTTTTAATTACTTCCAATGTATCGGTCACTGGTTAGTGATTACTATTCACTATCAATGCTAAAATGAGTGTTTCTTCTCTGTTCATTATTTAATTATTTTTTTGATACCTGCAGTCTCTGTTATTATTCTGTTGCTTTTAGATTAAGTTCTCCCCTCATAACTTGGTAGGTTCTTGCTAGCAGCAGCAGCATGTTTATCTTCCCCCACATTCCTTAATGGACTCAACCTCTCAGCTCTATATAAACTGTGCCCATTTCTCTTCAAGTGTGAAAATTGCTCTCTTGAGTAGTTTGTAACACATTGATACTTACCGGGCACAGGGATCCGTCCCTGCACTGGTAGTATCACGGCTATGATTAGCTTGGACTAGCTATGGCCAGCTATCACTAGCTCATACCAGCTTAGACAAGCTAAGACCAGTGGCCTAAGTGAAGACACTCGGGTCCCCATGTTAAAAACCTTGTGTCACAACCTGACTCAGTGGAGGAGTCAAGTAAATACAAATTTCTTTCAAGTAGATTGTAACACCCTATTTATCATCTCTCAGTTACATCTCTGTCTTTGGGCAGAGTGTGCTCTGAGTTGGCTCCATCAAGGGACAGAGTTGTAACTGAGGAAAATTATACTGAGAGGTGCCCAGCCCTGGGGAACAGCTGCCCAAGGCCGTGCCCTCTCATTGCACCAGAGAGAGGGATCAGTGCTCACACATAAGCCCGTGCCGTTGCAGGGACTCTGGAATTTTTGTTCCTAGCCCAGGTGTATGCACTCAGGTCCCCACCTTAAAAAGTGACCTTGTGTCACATCTCGTCTTTGTGGGGAGACAGAGTAAATACTGTGACTACAACATACCTGGAGAACCCTTGTCAGTCTGAATTAGTGGTTATTGAACATTCTGCAATGAATCCACCACACAACACGTTGGTTGGTTACTTTTATTTTTGTGCCATATTAATCTCTGTCGGTTATTTAATCCTGAAATCTAAATATTTTGTATGCAATTTATTTTTTTATTTTTTTTATTTTGAGACAATGATTTTAGTGATTCAATTTTTACTAATTAACCCTTAGATGGAGGGAGAAGAGTAGCTTCATACCTTTCCTAAAGGTATTGGCATGTAAATAAATGTAACAAACTCAACTAGAATTGAAACTTGGCTCTCTGATTAACAATTCCAAGCCATTATCCATTACACCAACACATCCCAGCTTACAGCACCTGGTATTTCTGAGTGGTCAACCATCTAGTTACTGACCCGTCTCGATGTTGCTTAACTTCGGTGAACATATGGAAACATGTGTTTCAATGTGATGTGGCCATAAGGCATCAAACAAATGTAGGACTCCCCACCCCTCCTGAAAAAATATTTACCTACCTCTGTAGTATACAAAAAAATAGATCTGCCCATCCTATTCAATTTTTAATGAAATAAAATCAATATGCTAAATTAACTAATGTATTATGTTGTATATACTTAATGACATAATAACATTTAGGAGTTCAAATACTAATTAAGAATGTCTTAGCAATAAAACTAATGAAAAGGGGTGGATATATTTTTGGCAACTAAATACTCTGTGTGCCAATGTGTTTTTTGATGGTTCAAGTCTAAGTATTTGTGACCATCTGGTGTTGAACTTGGTATTTGTTTTTTTTATGTTGCATATACCATCTATACTCATGTATAAGACTACTTAATGTAAAGTGCTAGCCCTGGATTTTTTTTTTTTTTTTTTTTTTTGTGAAAAAGGGATTTTTTTTCATATAGCTTGTGTATAATGTGACCCCAACTTCTGAGCAATAGTAGTAGGCTTACTGTAGTCAAATATTGCAGTTAGTAAGATGTGTATCACTAAAACTATTATTATCTCAAAAAAAAGAAAATATTATATACAAAATATTTAGATTTTGGCATGAAATAACCCATAGAGTTGTTATTATGTCACTAAACAAAAACAACCATCTATCATGAGTTGTACTAAATAGAAGGTAGTCCCCTTGGGCACCTGGGGATCTTTGGCAGTGACCCTCATGAACATTCTGCGATTTGCATTGATAAGGTTCTGGATCCGCTGTACAAATTGTAGTATTCATTTATGTTGTATGAATGCTGTGAATGGTTTTTGTTCTTCACTATGTTTCAACGGAATGTGGCTATGTGGTGTATAATTACAGCATCTGGTATTCCTAACTGGTCAGCCATCTAATTACTGACCAGGCTCGATGTTGCTTAACTACAGGAACTGGTGTTTCATCGTGATTTGCCCATAAGCCAAAATGAATAAATACCATTAACAATTTCTGTCTATATTTTTGAGATGAGGTATTATGTACATGATTTACATTATTCGGACTATTGTCCTCGTCTTTGTCGCTATATTTATCACAACATTTAAGCTGTTGTTGTGGTTAGAATGTCGAACTGAACCCTTTATTCGATATGAGCTCTGGTAAAAACATGAAAAATAACAGCAAAAATTGCAATATGAACACTCATAAAAAAATGGTTGCTGAAGACAGGTTTATAACACCTATAAATTCATACTCCAATGTCCTCAAGGACACAGTGGATAAAGACGTTAGTTAGATCCAGTGACAGGACCCAAAGAGTTATGAGTTCAATACCTGGTTAAGGCAGTGGAGAACTTGGAGAGGTGAATTAACAGGAGATAACTGATAACTGACATCCATTAGACATGGCACATGGAATTAGAATAGTCTACCCCAGTGAGCAAAATAAAGGGTTTAGTTCGACATTCCAACCACCTGAAGAAGGCTGGAGTGCACAACGGCTGAAACCTGATAAATATGGTGACAAAGATGAGGACAATAGTCCAAGTAATGTAGATAGTGTACCATTAACAATTTATATGTATTTTTGTAAATTTTTGTAGAAAGTTGTTTCCATATGATTTCGAACACAAAACCATTTCCAACTTTTGAACTTTGTCTGTGGAAGTCGTTTGAGCACAATCTCAATATCACTGTGTTTTATGAATACCATAACAGTTACATTATGAAATTTTGAAGTAGAGTAATTAATTATCCCATAACTGCTGGCACATAATCACATGTCCTCATATATCTTATGCCCCTTGTAATTCTAGGGGATTAATTTGTTACTTAATAATAATAGAAAACCAATCTCTCAGTTTATGTCCAGTAGAATCATAATGAATTTACTGATGATGTCAAAACGATAGCATGCTTTGTTAATTGCTTATTGTTCTTAGGTTTTCAAATGTGAGTCTTCAGAATTTTTTTTTTTTTCCAGTTATTATTGTAGTATTTTCTACTTTTATGTTGTCAGTCTTTTCACCTGGTTTTGTAAACATTTTACAATAATCTGCCATGGTCACAACAAAGATACTTACCTGATGTTAACAGTGCATGTCACCTACAGTAAAAGTTTTACAGCTATTACAAACAATAAACTTACAAATATATTTATCATATTTTCTACATTTTATTATAAACTAGCAGCATATATACCAAAATTACACAAAAATATCTTGAAATACTAAAGTGTAAATTTATTCAATAAAATCACCATTTTCTTCAACCATGGCTTCCAGATGACTTCAAAATATTTTGCAAATCTTCTGGACAGTCTACTTGTTTAAGTTAGTGAATGTTGCCATCATCTTTGCCTTCAGTTCATCTTTGGTGTTAAAAGAAGTTTTGTTGGTCTTTCACTCAACTGTGTCCCACACATAATAATTAAGGGGGGTTGCAGTCTGGTGAGTTAGATGGCCAGATGTAAGGGGTGATGTGGTTGCAGAAGTTGTCTGACAGCTGTGACTGGGTTTTTTCTGCTTGTGTTGCTAGAAATAGGGTCTTCCAGCAGCCAACCTCTTGACCCAGGGTAGCACTACCAGCTCAAGGTACTTGATGTTGGCCTCTGTGTTGAGTTTGAGGCTCTGTAATAAGATGTATGGAGGTATAAAGTCACTATCACTCCAGACACCATGATGTTGACTGGCTATATCATCCAACTCTTTCCAGATCCTCTGCACTGTTCTCAGATTAACACCCAAACACTCTGAAATGTTTGTATTGGAGCTTCCGGCATGAATGCCAAGCAGTACAGCATGCTGTTTCCAAATTTCTTGGGGAGCAAATTATGTCATGGTGCTCTTTTCTCACAGATAGTGCCCAACTGACCCTATTATACTGTCCAGTTGGCAAAATCAAAAACAATGCACATGTACAAAATGAAAAATATAAAATGGTGACAATTTAACCATCTCACTCTGTATATGAGGAAACTCATCACTTGAATCTACCTACCCTGAGAAAGTTGAAAGCTTGTACCATATCTATTGTGCATTTCTTCCCAAATTAAACCTTGTACAATTTCTGTTAGAATTTTCTGCTCATTTGAGAAGGATTATTTGTCATATGGAAAAGTTGAACATTAAAATACAGAATATATATATATATATATATATATATATATATATATATATATATATATATATATATATATATATATATATAAGAGAGAGAATTAATACAAATAAAATTTGTCACTTCCCTCATTTGATGTTACATTCAGCACCTCAACTCTAGAATTTTGTAGACATACATTTTTTTAATTGTTCAGTCCACTCATCAGGAGGTTTCAGCAATTGACTGTGGATTTTTTCATTTTTGTTGAAGTAATTTACGCATTAGTTGTTGGTGTTAGGTTTTTTATCCCTTTTTTTTCTTGTTTGTATGCACTGAATGCCATAGTTATTTCTCCTTTTCATTATTTTATATATATATATATATATATATATATAATGTGTGTGTGTGTAGAAAGAGAAACATACAACAGATTTTATTTTATATCAGTGGTTTATTATTAGAAATGTTAACTAGAATTCTACTACTTTACTTGGCACAAGCACAAAAAAATGTAAGATGCTGATTAACCAAACTGAGTATGAATTCTTCCGCAAATTTAAGCAAATCAAGTCCTGGTCAAAATCCTAATTTGTTTATTTAAAAAGAAAATTGTTTTGAATTGGCAACGTTTGCTAACTACAATGATTTTTAAGCATGCATTATTTAAATCATTGGATTTGAATCTGAATATAAATTAATGATTTTAAAACAGGCAATTTCAATATTTCAAAATACAGTATTTATCTGATTCATGGTCTACTGATTAATACATTATCTGTTCTATTAATGAATTAAGGCTTACATTTGGATTGTCTGGCTTTGATTAACCTGCATTAAACATAGGTTAAATAGTAGGGTAGACTGTATCTCTAGCTTTGTGTGGTAGCTAGTCTAGAAGAAGGAAAATTCTGAATTTAAACAGATTCACTATAATTATTCCTTCAACAGATGCCCTGGACCATACTGCTCAACTGGATTCTGAGGATGAAGTTGAAACAGTAGGCCTGGACTGGTGTCAACCTTTATCAAAGAAAATGAAAAAATCCATGTACACATATGCTGATTATTGAAAGCTATCTCCACTGTTATCACTATCAGAACCAAGGAAATGTAATATGTACCTCATGCACAACCTCATTAACTCGTACCAAATTTTCTGATAATGGTTGATGGAGGCCAAAAGCACTCGGAAGGTATTGGACAACTTATGTTCAAACTCTGCTGGAAACTAGGAAAATGGTCTGAACTGAAGACAAAAAAAAATTAAAAAAAAACTGTCTCACTTTCTGGGATGTTATTAGTTACATGTAGAATATAATCCTCATCTTTTTTTATGATCACAATGTATCCCTTAGCCTTCATCAACAGTTAGGTTTAAGGCTCCAAGTTTTCCACCCAGGATTTGCCTATGGGACAATAGCTTAGTGGATTGAAACATTGATTCATGAATAATAATTGTGAGTTCAATCCCTACCTCAGGCAGTGTACTCAATGGAAATGGAGTAAGCAGTAACTGACCAGTACTAGATATGATATCCGTAGATATGGTCAGTGGATTGAGAATGATCTACCTCTGTAGTGAGTCAGAATGGTCAGAGGACACAATGTCTAAAATATTGTAATAACAACAAAGATGAAGACACTAGTCTGCATGTAAATAATGTAAAAAAAAAACAAAAAATAACTTTTATTGCTTTTTAAGTAAACATGCATAAATGAAAAACTGATGCCCAACTATATAAACACACACATAAACACACATTGCTTTTTATATATGTGAATGATCTTGCTTTTATCTGTTTTTGTTTTTAAATTAAAGTAATTTGATTACAATTTCTTTTCAGCCGTCTGCGTCTCATTGAGGCCATGTGAATCATGAGCCATTTTGCCTTTCTCCCCAGCTGTGTGTACCACTTTATTTTTTGAAGTCGGGCACCACAATTTTTGATTCCCATGTTTCATCATCCACTTTCTGCCGCAAAACCAGTTGTGGTTATTCCCAGGATGTCTGGTACTTGTAAGGTAAGGAAACACCTGATTAAATTTTTTTTTAAATTGCTTGATTACGAAGTGGTACTATCAGTTACTACAGATTCTGTGTTCATATTGCTGGCCTTAGAAAAAAAAACAAAAAACAAACAAAAAAAAACAATGAATCTACTTTTCTCAGTGTGCCATTGTTTTTGATAGATATCTTGACAAAGGTCTCATCACTGGTATGCCACATTGGTTGTCAAAGGAAAGTGAGTAAATGAACACTTGGGTATTTACCCAATACTGTTTTAACTACCTAGTAAAAGCTTGTAGAAGCAATTATTCCTGTTGTGATTCTTGACAGGGGTAAATTATACTTGTGTGTATGTATGTACACACACACACACACACACACATATATATATATATATATATATATATATATATATATATATATATATATATATATATATAAAATTAGGAAATCAGCTGATTCTGCTACCTTGGTTTCAACCTTTCAGTATCTTAGGAAACAAATTGACCAAAATCACCTGAAGATACCAAAAGGTTAAAATCAAGGTAGTGGAATCAGCTGATTTCCTAATTTTTTGTACTTAAAAGCTCTACATGTTAAATTTTTATCATTTCATATGTGTATTGAGAACATTTTTAATACTACTGTTTCCTGGTCTAATTCAGCTTAGACCATTAACTTCTTTATTATATATATATATAATATAGAAATGATCAGAGTAAAAACTTCATTTCTTGAGGAACGTTATCAGCAAATGTTGAAATTTATTGTGAAAAACCCTTATTTATGCACACAGAAAAAGTATTGTTGAGAAAAACTAATGTTATGCATTCAAATTCAAATCTGAGTACATTCTAACATATTTGAAAACCTCTCAATGTTATGGAAAGGAAACTATGGAAGATGATAATTTTGACATGTTACTTAACAAAATTGAGTTAATGTTGTTATTATGCTTTTATGGTTGTACATAAATATGTTGGCTTGAGAAAGGAACATTTCTCTGAAGAAAGAAGATATATTTTAAAAATTCAGATCATATTTTTTGTGTTCAAATTTAAATTTGAGAAAATTGTAAAATATATTTGAAAATCTTTTGACATTATGGAAAGAAACTATGGCTATATACGGTTCAAATAAAAGGTTATCAATATTGGAATGAGCAATAGCAGCGGACATGAAAAACCTATTTTGCTGAAAAATTGTTTTAAGAGAAAGATTTTATAAATTTCAACCGGAAGTTGTACTGGCTGCTGTTTTTTTTTGTTTTGATTTTTCTTTTCTTTTTTTTCTTTCTTTTTTTTTTTTTTTTTAAATCAATTTCCTCAAAGAAAGGCGATAATGCTAATAAGATGCAAGAGGCTACTGAAAGTGAAAAAGAAAACTTTAGAAGGAACTGAAAACCCAATCCTAAACAGAAAGCCAGGTATAAACCTCTACTCCTGTTCACAAGATTGGGGTGGTGTGTGAACTGGTTAATGAATGACAAATGTTTCCTTATGAGGAAACAGCTTATATTACCATTACCATTTTCCTTTAATTTTTAATGTTCATGCATAAATATGCTGGATTGAGAAAAGAGCTTTTCTTTTAAGAAAGGAGACATTTGAAAAAATACAGGGTGTATATTTATGTTTGGGCTTGTGTTATTAATGCACTTTTGAGAACTTTTTATCTTTATAAATTATTTTCTTTCAACAAGGACAAGATTTTTGAGATCAAAATTGATTGAAATTATTTCTGTGTATAACTAATGCTTGGGACAAATTATTTATATTGTCTTTGCAGATATATACATTTATATCTCAATCTTATATATATATTGTGTATTTAGGCAGCATTTTTTCATTGATGCATGTTTCATTAAATAATATAGACAAGTGTTGTCTATTTTATATAAATTCTTTTCATATCATCTGATAAGCTTAATAACATTATCATTAACCGAAGAAAGAAAATCACAATATTGATACATATTTTTTAATCCTATCTAAGCTTTTGGCTTACATCAGCCATTATCAAAGATGACAATTACATTTCAATATATTGAGCAATACATGAACAACAGTGATGATAGTCTGTTTCTGTTTACATGGAAGATTCCCAAGTGTAAGTAAAATTAGGACCAAACAATAGGAAGGGAATGGGTTGGCCCAGCACCGCCTACTTCCGGAAGAAACAAAACTCCTCAGCTTCAAGACAGGTTGCTCAAAACAATTTAGCTACAAAACTCCACAGATCTTTGCACTCAATTATTCCAACACCGCCTGTAGTTCGCTACACACAACTCTCCTGAGTGGTCTCCCGCCGCCGTCACATTTATGCCAGCGAACACCAACCAATTTGCATACGGCCAAGTTCACCTCTCGCCAATCCTCGCAGCTACGAGATCGCGTTTCCCATAAGTCCGACTCACCGTAATGGTGATGTTTCTTCCTTCGGACCAATTACTGCCCTGCACGCCAGACACAAATGAACCCTCTTATGTCGAGAGCTGAGGTTTGTCTCACTTTCATGTCCACACTCCCCCCTGGTCTCAAGATCACACATGTGGCATTGCGGACGTGGTCGTTTGTTGCGGGCACTCCTACGAAGGGGTACTGTCTGGACTTCTTCATCAGAGCTCTCAGAAGGGGCGTCGGAACTATCGGCATCAGCGTCGGGGTCCGCAGTCAAAGCATCAGGCCCGCGGAGCATAGGTCGGATCCACAGTTTATCGTTGGATGATTCACCACTGCTGCTACTCGCCAACTCGTTCGTATTTAGGGCTGGCCGGACATCCCTCACATGGCGTGGAGTACCATCGACCAGCACTGCCTGCTCACTGACGATGCCGGTGATTCGTCCTCTTTGAAAGCTGGTGGTGCACCGGCTATTGGGAGGCTTCACCCAGATGGTGTCCCCTAACTCATATGGCCCTCGTGTTCCCCGCCGATCAGGCAGACGCGTGTCAATGCCCTTGTTGCGCACTCGGTAGCGATGGATCACATTGGCGGGTGCGCTCGCAGCAGTTACGGCATCTTTTGGTGTTGCATTATATCTATAGACCGCCCACTATCGCGGCACTGCTTCCTGGCTGCGATCCTCTTCGTAGCTGTGGCACCGCTCTGCTATGCCGTTGCCACCGGCGCACATACGCGACATCGGTGTCTGAGCTGGATACCCCACTCGTCTTTAAACGCCTAAACTCCCTGCTGCAGAAGGCCATGTCGCGTTGCCGTGAGGATCTCTTCAGGCGGCCCCCTTTTGTAAAATATGGACTCCAATTCACGGATGACACTGGAGGAGTCCTGTCTTACTAATGGGCGCCAGATCGTGAACCTCGTCGATCCGCAATCTATCAGTGTGAGGAAATGCTGGCTGCCGTAATGGGTTATGTCCATACCCAGTCGGTTCCAAGTCATGTCTACTCCCAGCCGACCTTTCCGCCATCTAGCTGGGGCGGGGTCGATTGACTGGCATGTTTGGCATTCCTTGACCACCACTCTCACTGCACTTTTGGACACTGACGGATTGGTCAACTGTACAAAATAGCATGTCCGTCTCACTCCGGGGTTCACACTGTTGTGGTGTATCTCCCTGATTTTGTCCGTCGCCTCAACAGAGGCAGCACATAGTAACAGTACTGGCTCAGCTTCTTTCTTCATGGCGCCATACCATCTCTGTGGCACCCGAGTGAGCCTATCAGCAAGGTTGCAGTTTGAGGTGACAAGCACCGCATCCAAAGATAGGGTGTACTCTGTTACCAGCTTTCTTATGGTCTCCAACCTCCATCTGATCAGCATCTCGCTAGCCGCCTTGGTATGCACCCTGGCCTTGCCTGTCAGTGTGTCCAATATCCAGTGGTACACGCATAGCAAATCAGTGTGTATGCGTAATTTCCTGACTTTCCACTGGAGTGCCAGGTTGATGCCTTTTATCACTGCATCGAGCTCTGCTAGTTTGGACCTTATGCGTGATGACGACAATGTCTTCATTCACATATATATCATCAAGGTACGCCGATGTCGCCTCTTTTATGGTTTCTTCCTGTGACAACACAGCGTTGACAATGGTTTTCATTATTTGGGGTGCCACGTTCAGCCCGAAGCCCAGCCTAGTAAGGCAGTACCTTCTGCCAGCAAACACCACCATTTGAAACGGCCACATCGTCTCGCTGACCTGGACCTGCAGGTACGCTTTTCTTAGATCCAGCAGGGACACATTGGAACCCTGCTGGCACCACTCTCGTAGCTTGCCGGCGCAAACATCAGCATCTGCCGTGAACGCATCAACATGCGTGTTTAGTTCATGGTAGTCCATCACTGGCTCACCTTTGCTTTGTTGTGCTGAGCACAATGTCTCATTAATATAGACCTGAATGATCGGAAGCGCCTCATCTAATTTCTGCTTGGGGAAGAGGTCAACACTGTCACCTTGTCCCCGGCCCCGTTTCCCGCACAATCCCGGACCATATGTCCAGTCTCATTATACCAGTAGCAGCAAACAGCTGTCAGTTGCCGCCTGCAGTTCCTCGCAATGTGGCCCTGGCCACCGCACCTATAACACACGACCCCACAACGGGGGCTGGGCCCCTGAGACGGTCTATCATCACTCAGCGTGGACTGTGCAGCGGCGATTACCGGTTCTCTCACCTCAGTTATCCTTCATCACAATCCTGGCCCGGTCTACCAGGTCATTAAGGGACAACGAGTCTATGCTTGAGCTCACTCGCAGGAGTTGCTTTGCTCCGGTTGGGAGCCCTGCCAGAAATTTATATGCCAAGGCCCGCTCGGGCAGCCCACCGAACAACACCATCAACAGTTTCGCCTGGACGTAAAGTTCTTGCCTCGAATTGCTTCCAGGCAGTGGCAGGGTCGATAGCAAACGCCTTGTATAGTGCTGCCTTGATTCTCTCATAATCCTGTTTTTCCTCAGCACTGAGCTGTTGATACACAGCGAAAGCCCCGTCGGACAGACGCAGAGGAATCACGTGTTTAATGCTCTTTAGCCAGACAAGAGGCAATGCAGTTCC